CTAGCTTGATCCAAGAACCGTTATATTTCTCCATTATTTACTTACACTGCTGGAGTAAGTGTGTTATCAAAAATTCGAGATGGAAGCAATTTCACTTCAATTTCACGAAACGCATAGATCCTCATGATCATTAGTCAGTCTCTCAAAATTCCCAACGGAGTAACTAAGTCGGCTTAGAATAATCTCATGAGATCGTGAGACGCTGTGGGCAGAGAAGAAACCACTAAGGACGGCCGCGGAGAGCATTCTCTAGAAGGAAGACACATTCACAAAAGCTGTTCACCCACTGCTTTGGAGTGCGACCCCGTGAAAGTGACACTACAATAACAGGTGTGGTTGTGCGTCCTGTAAATATTGCATTTTATTGAATCATTACATAACAAAGAAAATGTTTACAAAGCGTGTCACGCCATGCTGACGGGAAACGTGACCTCGACAGGAAGTGGGGCGACAGTGACGCAGGTCGCAAAACTAATCTGCTACGTGCTGGTAGTAGTGTAAGATGTATCTTGGAAGAACAAAGAAGCACCCAGATAGTTGCAAAGAGGATGAGAGTAAATATTTTCCCAATTTTTAGTTTCATTGGCTTTAAGTTGATGCAAAATTGCAGCGAATGATCAGTGAAAGCGGACTGTCGAAAATTCTAGAACTGCCCCACCTACCCCTCCCTGATCATTATACAACGAAATTACTCAAGGGAGACGAAGCGCAGCAAGTGATTAAGTGTGGGTTTTGATTTTGAATCCCGTGTAAGAGCTTTTTCGTAAAATGCCCGATTATTTAAGGCTGGGCATGTTCAAACATAATTCAAATTTCAAAGTTTAACCCTCCATAGCTAGTCTAGATTCTCGCTCCTCTTAAAAAAAACACACCTAACTCTCGAGAAAGTTTATTGATCATCAGTTCAAATGATTACAATAAAGTAGAAATTGCACCTATACACTCCATCTTCATTTTGATGTAAAGAAGAAACGAGCACTTTTGAAGAGAAAAGTTCCATAAAATCAACAGACGCAGAGAGAGAAACTATTGATAACAGCTTGAAGGGAGGCAACAGAAAAAAAAAGCAACGTGGTTTGGCAAGTTTTCAGCAAATATATTTTCTTGGAGAAGAATCTTTTCCGGCAATTATTGTCTTGTTATTGATTTCGGTAAAAAGCCCCCTCTTCAAAGCAAAGTCCATCGGAAATAGTGGAAAACCGGCCCCTGTGCAAGATTAGCGACCACATGATTATTTGGTGTGAGAGAGCGCCAATATCAAGTGGTTTATTCCGCAACGTAATATCAAAAAGTAAACATCCTGGTCGTCAGTGAAGAACGCAAACTCCAGCAAGATGTGCCGAGTCAGATACCATGGGAGAGCAGTATTGTGTATTACAAAAGAAAATAATGGGAACTTATTTTCTTGTTACCTAATTATCGATAAATTGACTAGCCAATAAGTGCGCCTCTTGGGCCCCGCCCCCTCAAAAAACGATCGGAGAGGGCTCTTTTTTAAAGGTCCTAATACAGATTCCTCACAAAGGTCCTTCGTGCGCTGAACCTAATTCTTGGTTGTCTTTTTAACCTAAAGTATTTGTTGTACAATTTGGGGAAACTACTGAAGTTTTCTTCTTTCTGTTTTTATTGTTTATGCAGAGGAAATCAAGGCTGTCGGTAAGGTGTACTTATTAGCTATTCTAAAAGTAAAAAGAATAATCCTCTTTGTTATAAGTTATGTTCCATTTAGCCAAAGCAATTTCGTTTAACCACGTCAAATCCAAGTCAGTTGGTGGTTTTAACTAGAAGGAATTTTACCTCTACACTACGTGGTGTTGGCGTGATCCTTTCAAACGTTCAGGAAAAGTATTGCTTTTGGGGTTTAAGATTTTCATTCTCATGGAAATATCGGAAAGCGAAAACAGGACCTTGTTCTCGCTTTCCGTTGCAAATGATTTCTTAACGCCTTCACAGGAAGCACCCGGAATGAAGTCAAAGCATCACGTGCAAAAATATGCTCGGTAGGTTATGAAATGCGGACGGGTAAGTATTGGTTACGATGAATCGCACCTAATGTAAATTCCGGGTACAAATATAGCACAGGAGTTATTTCAAGGTATCCTTGTCAACACATTTATTTGTTTTTTCTTTTGTTTTGATTTGTTTAGCTTTTCGCTTTTTTGAGACACCTTACTTCAATTTTGGCTCAAGAATTTAATGTCTTAGAGAAAAAGTTGTGCTTGTCGCCGACACTTTTCAAGGGAAAATTGTGCTTACATGTTCACTCTTCACAGTTCCCTTGGCAACTGTCGTGATCAAGTCGATCAAGTGATATCGTTCTAGCCAAGTTTTACCTCAGAAAAATCTCCTCTAAAAAAATTTTAAGTTTTCCAAGCGACCGGTCATATTTTTCTCTCAAAAATGCCTCGGAAAACTTGAGGTCAAGATAAAAATTGTCATGGAAAGCTTCCTCGTGCAACTGCGAACTATTTTTTTTTGTGACGAAGCGTGCATAATTTTGATTTCCTATGCGTGCGTGATTCTCCTGCAACACGTTGAAAACAGCTGGACAGGCAGAAATCCATTTCGGGAAAAAAAAACTACTGGTTGAAGGGAATTGATCACAATTAGGAAGATTTCATTTATTTCCGGTCAAAGATTATTCGCGGTGAAGAAGGACACTTGGAAATATAGATATCGTGTTATCTTATATAACATTACTGTACAAAATTTGTTATTGAGACCATTTCGTGAATTTTTCTAACCACTCCCGTTCTTCCCAAATTTGAAAACAGACGTCAGTAAGGTTTGTTTTGTTTTCTGTACTGTGTTGTCTGACGCTTAACATTTAAGTGACGTCACTATAAGTCGATCTTCCGTTGAAGAGTGACATTCATCACGTCAGCATACAAACAAAGATTCTCACGCATAAGTGATAGGTTTTTTTTGTCCGACCGTGTTGCTTTTCTTTTAAATTCCGATAATTTTACAGAGAAGTACGGAAGTAAATAAGCTAGAAGGAAATTAGCCACTCTACTTTCAAACTTTTACATTGAATTAACGGTGGTGTACTTGCTTAGAGCTTGGCATGTATAAATTTCACCGATTATCTTAACATTTCACAATTTTTTTCGGCTGGTGTAGATTGATCTTTACCCATAAAAGATTAATGATGTCTATGAACGATTTTTGCTTTGTAATTCACGAACATCTAAATGTTTAGACGTTGTCACGGACCCGTGAGTTCACCTGATATTAAATCAAGTGTCAAGTCTTGGAACAAGTCCTTAAAGAACTTCAATCAGGGAATTACTGGTGTGTTACTGTATTATTTTTCGCATTTAATAGATCGTATCGGCCCTTCCCTACGTAATCTGCGGTTTTAAATAAACTAACAAGTTCCTTCAAGACTAACATCATCTACCGATAGACGAAGATGTCAAAAACTTATGCATAACCCTTTAACACCCAAGATCTCATAAATAATACTCCTTACTATCTGCCATACAATTCTTGTGATGTTAGCTGGGAGAATTTGATATTGGATCAACTTTTAATCTCCTAATTGATATATTTTTTTATTCCCATCACTTGTCTGCTTGAGATTGTATTGATATTGTGAGGAGAAATTCTGTCTTGGTCACTTATGGGGGTTAAAGGGTTAACACTAAAAGGACAATATAAAATTGAGAACATGTTTTTCATATTTTTGGTGACATATTTCATTAAGTCGGATTGACATGAACAGACTTCAACAAAGGAAGTTCTCTGGGAAATTAACGCATGACGTCATTCAAGCGTCATTCAGTGCAGGTGAAACGGAAATTGTTGAAACTTCCCTCCTCATTTTATCTAATTTGGGACCAAAAAAACGTGCTCCTTCAGAATCAAAGATTTTTTAAAAAATGGCAATGTCAGCTATTCCAGTGGAATACTATTTCAGCCCAAAGTGGGTCTGAAGGGCAATCAGATTTGGATCAACAGCTTGATCCTGGTGCAGAGTATTATTCAGTGTTGGTTAACGCAAAATCAGGCGGATGAGTTTGTTCATCGATCTTGGTAGGTGCTAAATCAGAAATAGATAGATTTTTTCCAAACATAAAATCGTGCTTAAAAGGCGTCGAGGCAGTTTTGACTCAACGTTTTGATGTTGTCCCAGGACAATAAGAACACCAATATGTCTTATTTCCAACCAATTTTGGCATCGGTTAATAATCAACATGGGCTCATCTTAATCCCTGGCGTTGTTAAAAGCATATTTATCGGTGTGATGCAAGCATATTGCTATTGTTACTATGAAAGTTTGTCGTTCCAACTTACTCAGGCTGACCATGTAAACATTTGGCATAAAAGCTGTTTCTGTTTCATCTGGATGGGCAGTCTAAAAATACCCCCTTGGCATTTTATTACGCTTCTCAGCTCGGAAAACCACAGTCATCACAGGTTCTTCCCACGTAATACTCCGACGTATGCGCGCGTGGGTTTGTTTACTTAAATAAAACGATACCATCCTGGCAACATTGGAAACAAATATTGTTATGCCACAACCCGAAAAAAAGTCCTTTCAGCAGCGTGAAGTCTTCTGTCACTAATTCCATGATACTAACAATAGTATAATACATTAGACTTCATCACAGGATAACAGACGCAGAACTGAGCAAAGAAAGAGGGAGGAAGAGGGTCTAACATTTTTTATCATCGCGAATTACAGAGCACATCATAGCAAAAAGGGCATAAACCTGAGCTAAGGGGGAGGGTTGAGGGTGGAACGGGTTTGAATAATTTCAATAATCGTGGATTATACGTATAAGTTATTTTGATAAGTGCATGTGTGAAGCCTATATTTCGACGTCAACATCCGGGACATCGGCCATGTGCTTTGTCGAAAAAGAACTATTCGCCGTATTCGTATTGGCATTTTTTGCCAACCAATATTTTTGAGTTATGTCACTCTAAACTCGAAACAGTCAGTAAGTTATTGCAATTTCGCTCGCTAAAGGTCTAATTTCTGTACGTAGAAAACCTGCCTTATTGCCTGACTGGATGTTTACTCAGCTTGATTACTGGAACACTCACTCGGTCGATCTTTCTAACAATTTCTCAGACAACTTTATATTTTCTCTCTCCTTTATTTTCATTTAACATTAGCACAGCTTTCATTCTCATTCATTTTAAAATTCTCCACATTCCTCGAGAGACGGGTTTTTCTTACAGGCGATATAAGCTTTTATGTGTTCATCCAAGTATCTCAACGGTATCTCCCCCTGACGTAATACCTCGTAATGAAAATCCTTCAGATCGAAATCTTGACCCAGCTCCCTCTCGGCTAAACTCCTGAGGCGAGAGATTTCCAGTTGACCAGACACGTAGCTGGCTACCTGTCCCGGCAAACCTTCTGACCTTATGATATCTTTCTTTGCCTGGTCCGTGTTGTCCTCCCAGACATACTGTTTGTACATACGGAGGGCATCGAATGCTGACTTCTGATAATAGTTTAGGTCAATGTCTACAACAGCGCGCAGAGCGGCTAAGAGCTGTGCAATAAAACAACAAAGTATTTTATTAATAACAAGTAAAAATTGTAGCGACCTAACGAGACTTTGCCAATCATTCGGTGCAGAGAGGTGTAGAATCACTAACATTTTAATTGGAAGCTATCGTAAACGACAAATAAAATGATGATCCAAGTGTTATTCCGTTAGCTAACCTGTTCCGGGCTTTCAGTTAGTAAAACGAAGTGTAACAATAAACGGTGCGATAGTAGGATCCAGTAGCGAGGGAGTGAAAAAAAGATGGAGGTCTGGGTCGGGTCGCCCGAACCCCCCTCTTCTTCACTCTGTCGCTGTTTTCTATTTCGCTCCGTTTTACTAGCTGCAAGCTTGGAATAGGCTATACGTTGGCTTGTGTGGTCGATCTTATGCATATGTCTGTGTCCGAATGACAATCAACCTTTGCAGGTGAAACTCCTATCCCATTGGTCTCTCCTTCTCACAATTTACTTCAGCCTTAATGCGAACCTAGAAAAAAAGCTAACAGGTACCTCGTCTTTCTCGTCCCTCGTGTACTTACACGAAATATCAACGATTGATCTGAACGTTTACACATATTAGTTGGCTTTACAAAATGACATCGATTTTTGCAGCACCTCGCTTTACAGCCCCTTGTTTCGTTTGCACATAATTACCTGGTAGTAGATCATGCCGTATTTCTGTAGCAACACCTCCTTGTTGGAAGTGTCTGAGTAAAGGTTCGTGTCTTGAGGCAGCAGTTGGTACTCAGTGTAAGTCGTCCAGCCTTCGGTAAACCCTGGAAAATAATTGTAGGCTCCCAACCAGTGAATGGGATCTTTGCAACTGTCCTGAAAATATTCCGTGTAACTCTGAACCTGCAAAGGTAAATAGTGTAACATTAGCGCGGGCTCATATTCCCGAACAGCGGCTAACAACCTAGCCCAATATGCGCTTAACTTTCTTTTACTAACCAATTGGTCTGATGACCGTAGTTTACTTCGCATCATTACAAGTAAGAGTAAGCCACCTTAATAAGTGCAACTATCAAAGTTCCCTTGTTGTGTAAACCCGAGAAGCGTCTTTCTAGCTATAGTCACGGTGTAAAGGCCTCAGAAAGAGGAAACAGCTGAACATGGGTTTTCAATCTCATTTCTCTCCTCTGTCTTCTAATTTCACCAGCACTGGTGTTTCGATGCTTCTTGGGATTTGCCTAACTATTTACCAAACAAAGTTAAACATAACACCGTCAAGATTCAACGAAAGTCACTAACCTCCAAATGATGCCCGGGCATTTGCTCATGAGCTGTGGTGGTATATTCCGTCCATTTTGGGCCAAATCGGTCCATAAAAAACGGTAGCGCCTGGCTTCCTTTATATGAGCAGTCCTTTGCTCCTATACCGTAAGAATGATAACTAGCATAAGGCTGGAACGATGCATAAAGGTCTACCCCACAAACAGGAATAGTTTTCTTGGGCCCACTGCTGTGAAAGTTGGCTGCGAGGACTGGTGTGATGTGGTTCGTCATGGTCTGCAATATAAAGGCAGTTACAGGTCTACAGCATACCCTAGAATCTATTCCAGGCCCTGGTTGTTCGAAGATCAGATAACGCTATCCACAGCCATGATAAATCTCTATCCGATGGATGACGCTACACGTTTTGCCATCACTTATCCGCTGTATAGTGATTTATCCGTTGGATATATAGCATTATCCGGCCTTTATACAACTGGGCCCAGCTCATTTATGGTTACTTAAGCTAAGTGGCCACGACTTTTTGATGAGCCATGTTGCCCATTCACGCTTTGTTGTGGTGATCACATTTCGATTAGCCTGCTCGCACAAACCCTACACGAGCGTGGGACAATAGCATTCCTTGTTTAACAGATTTCTTTCCGAAATATGAATAATGATCAGGTAATTCTGAGGATTCAAGTTTGAAATTTTAACTTTTTACCCTTGACATAGTTGGAAAAAGGCGCAAGTCGAAAAATCTCATAACGAAAAAACTGGCCTCGTGAACCAAAAGTGGATAAATTTGTTCCAACGGATGTACTGGTTTATACCGAGTTAGAAAGATAGGATATCTTTTAGCCAGGGAGGAGTTTATTGGTTTTTCATAACGTACGTCTTTGGTGTTCTCCATCCATTTTTGCATAGCTTCCCAGCGCTTGGGGCAGAATTCCTCCGCACTTTCTGAGTCACTACACTTTATAAAAGCATCTTCGTCGCTCTCGCTGGTAGGAAAAGTCCTACTGTTAAACCACATGTTAGAATTTCCGAGAATTTCTTTGAACTTATCGACAGCGACGTGCTCTTGCTGTTCTTCAGTAT